TATATGAATGTATATATATATATATATATATATAAGAAATGACTATATGTTATTAGACATCCTCCAACTACTTCTCTAAAGTGCCTAACAATTCAAGTACCACCTTCTTAAGACCAACTTTACAGAGGAGATTCTAACCCACGACCTGAGGGGTTTTACACTGCGGATGCCAACTAACAGGCCGAGGCCGAGGTACACGGCACATAGGTTTTCTTTATATATATCTATATATATTTTTTTTAAAAAAAAATAATACAATGCATAGAAAAATAAATATTTCTTAATATTAAAAAATTATTAGGTGAGCAGTTTAAATACCTGTTGTACATTGTTATACACATATTGTATAATAATGTACAAAAATATTATACATAAAGTCCACATGCAATAGACATCATAGAAACATCTGAAGTTTTCAAAGAACCGTACCTTTAAACTCTCATTCTCCATTGAAGAGAAAGGTGGACTGGACTCTAACGCCGACTCCACAACCTTCTTGTCATCTTTCTCTCCGGCATCTGCTCCATGGTTCTGAAACCCTCGAGCTGGAGCAAATATGTTTCCGAGAGCTGTTGACAGCTCAGTAGCAGAAAGGCTCCAAGACCTCGCCAAAAACTCCATCGTCTCTATTGGAGTTTCTGGCGGCCGCAATGAAGCAAAGTTCAGACCTTCAGACCACTCATCTTCTTCAATGTTCTCAAGCCGCAGAGGCACACTTTTCTCCATTGCCTACATGAAAACAGAGCAGCATAGTTTAAACAAACATAGAAAGAGTTTATATTCGCTTTGATAAGCTAACAGAGCAGAACAGAACCTTTATGATATTCAGAGATGAGAACTGTAAAAATTGAGGTACTAAGTGAAACATATATAGGAGCCTGCTATGGCCATGAGCGGCGATGGTAATGATGACTGGTGGAGCCTCCATGAAAAGATAACGGAAGTGTTAGGAGGAGGAATGAGCATATCATTGCAGGAAACAATGCGTTTTGGGAATCAAAGATGGCCTTTTTAGAACTTTGGGGTTGTTTTTCAGGCTTTTTTTAGTGTGCATAACTGTTTTGAATGAATCGTATTTTACAAATTTGGAATTTTTTAATAAGAGTGCCATTGGATATCGGCAAAGGTGTGATTTTTATCGTTTAAGAAATTGTTTTAGGACATTTGTTATTTATGAAAAAATTAAAATAGAAAGGTTGGTTTTTGTGTTGGAAGGTTTTTGGAACAAGATGAGTAGTACATGAATTGAGGTTAAAATTCCTCCATGTTTCCCACTAATTAATATACTTTTGCATTTGGGGCGCAGATTTGGGTTCAAATTGTCTTGCAAGTTGTGAATTACTTTGATGAGAACTATAAAATAATAGGCATATATGGTACAATGGAGTTTGCTTATCAAAAAGATCGATTTATGTACACTTGTATCGATCAAATTGCTTTCCTTTTTAGCATTTTTTTTTTTAATATTGAGAAATTGGTATGCTCCTTCTATATAGATCGACAATTTTTATAATAATATTCACATGTATAACTAATTTATTGTCAATTAAGTAACTCTAAGTATTTAAAATGAACTAGGAAATATTTGTATTAATTTGCATATGACACAATTTAATTATTAGAAATGCACAAAATCATTGAAGGTGAAAGTTATTAGTTTAGGTTTTTTTTTTTTTTTTTTTTTTTTTTGAGGTTTGAATGACACCATCATGCATGGAAGCATTTTGAGGTTATTTTTGGAGCATGTAAGCTTCTTACATATCATTAGTTTTTGTAAATCAAACGTATTATCTAGTGTTTCTTATATGGTACCGGGACAATGTTTAGTACATTGAGATCTTTAGATGAAACTTGGACTCTTACTAGTGATTTAAAGAGGATACGAGGACTATTTATTATAAGTTTATTCAACTCATTTGATCATTGAGTTCAATTGCTTTAATTATTTGAGCCAGGACATAATTGACCTTTAGTTATCAAAGGATGACCATATGGTTAACTAGAGCATATGTTAGACTTAAATATAGGCGACGAGCCTTAAGATTGATCAACTCATAAAACTACTCTTAACTAGACCTTATTAACTTAAATTAGTTTAGTGTAACCCTAGTCTATCATAAAGCAATCTAGTTTCCATTAAGATTTATATTAACCTAGGATAAAAGATCATTAGATAAACTTTGGCTGAGACCCATATTGCACTCATGAGATTATTAACACATAAGAGAAATTCTATATGAATTTAGCCCCTCAATGGGTTTAGCATCTATATTTTGTCTTGATCTATTTAGACCCATTAGCTTTAATGGGTTATGATATAATGATGTTAGGGAGCTTAAATACATTTTGAGCATTAGGCTTGACTTTACCATACATAGGGTGGTCTTAAATTATCCGGACTTTGGTAGTCCAAAGATGTCGAGATTTGAATCAAACTGTAGATTCTTAGACCACCTAATAAACCTTAAATTCAAGTTAGATTAATTTTATTCAAAGTAAATCAACTAAACATAAATGGGCATGTGCTTATATAATGCCCTCAACTGAACTCAAATAACCCTAATTGGATCCCTTGCTCCAAACCTAAGTATTTAGGTCATCTTAATTAAACATAGATATAATATGACCAACCATATCACAATCTAAATCTAGAATAAGATTGGTTTGGATTTGAATTAGTCATGACCTATAGACTTTAAGTAACCTTATTGAGGGCCTTAAATTAGTGCATCAAACATAGTCAAATTTGGATTAAAATTGACTCAAAGCCTATGTGATTAAACCTGATGGACCTAATTAGTTTATAAATGTACCCAATTAGTCTTAAGATCAATCCATTAAATCCCTAAGTAGCTCATGGTTCAAATTAGGCTCACTTTAAGCCTAACTAGGTCTAGGTGATTAGACTAGACCAAACCTAATAAGGCCCATTATGATCCAACTGAATTTATACCAATTTGCTTTAGGAAATTAAACTTTGACTTACTGCTAATTAATTCATAATGCATTACAAGATCTAAGTACTTAATGAACTTAACTAGGTTTAACTAGAACATAACTTTGTTCATCATCACAACCAACCCCAAGTTTTATTTGAGTAAATTTAGACTCGCTTAGGTTTAAATCCATCATCAATTGAATATCGTTGTTTCTGAATGAAACTAAAGACACTGTAGACCTAGTCTAATATAAAATTGGCATTTTAGCCAAAATTCTTCCATCGAGTAAATTTGGCTCAATTTGCTAAACTGTCTAAAGCTTAGCTAAATTAAGCCTTCACTTCTCTCCTTATCGCGACTTAAGACCAAATTGTGCCAACAAGCTCTGAGCTCAATCAATCGAACCACTCCTCACTTGATTATGTTAAAACCAAAATGTTTAGCTTAAATTCTTAAAATTATATGAACGAACATTCGTAATCCACCTTCCCTATTCCTTTTTAATTCTCACATGATTGAGCAAGCCCACTTTGTAGTGTCAAAAATACCCAAGCTACTCGATTAACCACTAGTGATTGGCTTAAATAGGTAGGGATAACAAGTGTTGGTCAATTTTAAACTTAATTACTAATTAGGCATTACACACATGGAGAATGTTAAACACATGCATCATGCACTAAGTTTGGTGTTCCCCATGTGTCCACTAAATTGATTTGGATTTGATTCTAACCATGATATGTTGTTTGCATTAGGCTCATTTAAGCACAAAATTAGCATTATGCTCATTTAAAGACAAAATCAGGCATCATTAATGTCATTGAGATAATCACAATTAACCTATTATTGAGATTATAATTTTTTAAAGATTAAAATTTTATTATCTTTAATTTAGTTTTATTATTTTCTTACCAAATATTTCAGTGCTTTCAAATTCAAAAATTGTTCAAATTTTATTTTTGATTAAATGAAAGTTTGATGCCATAATAAGTGTAAATAAGTTTAAACTATTTAAAATCATTATAATTTGAAATTATAACTATCTTAATGCCAAAAAAGTTATCCATAAAATTTTAAGGTATTCTATCAAATAATTTAGAAATAAAAAAATCTCTCTATTGTTGATAAATCTCAATAAATAATTTTATTTATATTTTAATTTTAAATATGAGAAAAAAAAATTTCTCTTTTTATTGCCAAATTAATTCAAAACTTAAATCATTATTACCATCCCCCTCAATATGAAATGACTTCATTGCTTAAAAATGAAAGCTAAAAGTGTAGGTTCATCATGTATGACCACAACTTTCACCATCATATACAAAGCTAACATTATGTGGGCCAACCTGGCCCACCATGTTGAGTGTGAGATCAAACTCATTTCCCTCATGATCTAATGATGGGTATTGCTTTCAAGCTATCATTAGTGTTAATTGCATAATTTCTCGGATCATGTTTAAGGCTATTTTATTTTATTTTTTAATTTACAATTTATTATAAATTTATTTCATTTAAAGCACATTCCATGCTTTTCCTTCTTAAGGACTCAACAAATCTATATATAAAGTTTAAAAAATATGAATTTTCCCCTCATTTTATATTAAAACAAAGCATAAAAATCTTACAAATCCTTATGAATTGCAAAATTCATACTACATCCCAAATAGTTAGAACATAACTTCATATATTTGCCCTCACATTTGTTCAAATTTTTGACACAACTTATATTTAGACCTTAAATTATGAACTATACTTACAAATATTTTCTTAAATTACTACAAAAATGATTACTTGATGGCACACTAAGCACCAAAATAAAATCTAAAGCCAATGAAATGATGAAAAAGGCAATGCAATCATGAAAATATCCCAAAAAAGGGGTGGCGGAAAGCAAAAATTATTTGGTATGTTACAATAGTCTTTGGAGCCATTATGATTGATCCATTCATGTTCTCTAGAATTCCTACCAAGACAAACGGTCTGCCGTAAAATCTTATGTTCTGCTCGCCACTAAAGACTAATTAAATTAATTTAATTGGGGATCCAACGGTGGAGATTTACCCATTTGAAAGTTCAGCTGGATGTTGGCTGCACAGGTGCCAGATTATCGCATCAATCAAGTCAATGTTGGCTCATAGAGGTATTAGAAGGTTAATCCTAATTGTTTAGAGAAATTTGATTTTTTTTTTTTTATTAGTCAAATATTTAAATGGGGAATTTACATACATACCACCAAGTTTCTATGTATTTACATAACCTAAAATCTGAATTTTGTCTTTTGACATTCACTAAAGGAGGAAAGTTTGAGAAAAGTGATAGAGTAACTGAAGCGCTTTGCATTCAGGTAGATATTATCTTGGACAAATATATATGATATGTATGAATATTTGCATTGTGAGACGCTAAATGTACAATATATTGCATCCAGGTAGAAAGTGACTAACCGATGAGTTCTTAAATGGTGTTGAGTCTTTCGTGCAAGTGACATATCAGTTTTTGACTTGTATTTTTTAAGGTAAGTTCGGACGAAGTCGAGCATGACTTATATAGTGGGGGATTTGAACCAAATTCTAACTTTTGGATTTCCCATGATCTGTATGAACCTGACATTTTCTCTGAAGTTGGATGGCAAATATGAACTAATATTTATTCTAAACCTAGTCCTTCATTGAGCAATGCTCCTTCAATAAGCTATGATCCTTCAATAAAGTATGATTCAAGTGGATTTATAGAAATTGTGCTCGAATGATTAAGAGCTCATTATGCGAGTCAAGTGAAAAAAGAATCACAAAATAGGGATGCTCGTATATTTTATGAATTATAGAATTTCGTGTGAAGACGATTGTGGGAAGGTTGAGTAATTGAGTTATTTGTGGCTCTTAGAATGTTAAAGATTAATAAAATTTAACATGCCACAAGAATGCTTTAAATCCCTAAACAAGATTGGTAAAAGAGATGAATTTATAGAAAAATTTAGTGCCATGAGACTTAT